TAGGCTGAGAGGCAGTGAGACTTTTAATCTCAGGGTTGTGGGTTCGAATCCCATGTTGGGGCGAAAAATTCGTGCATTGCTGGGGGTTGGGCTAGATGACCTCTGTGGTCCCTTTCCAACTCTACAATTCTATGATAATAAATCCATGGCTGGCCCAAGGTCACCCAGTGGCCAAGTGGGCATTTGAACCCTGGTCTCCCAGGTCCTAGTCCAACGCTCTAACCACTGCACCACACTAACTGTACTGCATAAGCCACAGCTTTCTGAAAGAATCCCTTTCAGCAAAAACACTTTTGTGAATGATGCTTTCCTTATCTGGAGCACAGGCTTTCCCAGCAAAACAGAAAGAGATAGGCAGGTATTTAATTCACAACATAATTTAGCTGTAGCTTTTTCTTCCTAGTTCATGTGCTTTGGTGGAATGAAAACTCAGACTGTCGCGCTGCTGGAAGACACTCTGCCCATGAGGATCCCAGAGTAGTAGCAGCAGGTAAATGAAAGGTTTCTCTTTCTTTTTTCCTTTTACCATCCTTTAAATCAAAAACCCCAGTATTGCTTAAGTCCTCCCTCCCTCCTCCGTCTCTTTTTAACTATCTGTTTAATTATTTTCAGTTCGGGAAAGTGTTCAGTTCCTGGAATCGCAGCAGAACTGTCTCCTGGTACCTAAGCAATTTTCACCCCTGAAATAGTTTTCTATACCTACTAATGGCGATTTCTTGTGAAAACAAAAACAAACCACAGAACTTTTAAGTGCTTGTCCTAATGCAGCCTTATTGCTGCCTGTTTACAAGGCTCGGTGCAAACCCAGTCTCCCATCTTTTCTTTCTGCTTGCAGCAACACACCTCTCGCCTTGTTGGAAATTGCAATTGCATGATGGCAGAGGGCATGACCCACCCACCTAAACGAGAATTCAGAGCTTACTAAACTATATATAAAAATTGGTTCTCATAACTTCTTTGCACGAGGGCTGTGCTGCTAGCATAGCTACGAGTTGTGACAACGGGACAGTGATGTAAAAGTGGTCTGGTGTTGGGAATAAATGGTCAGGGAAGTCTGGGGAAGAGAGTCTAAAGCAGAGGAAACGCCGCTTTGTAAACCCTGCCAGGGAAACGCTGCTTTGTAAACCCTGTCAGCCTTGTGCTGGTCAAAGCAGAAGGTGAGGCTGCTATATATTCCCCCCTGCCTTTTTTCTCCACACTCCCAAACTTGTTTCAGTGGGAAGACAAGTTATGCAAACTCTACAGCTAGCAGAGCTTCCTTCCTATTCTGGGGGTCATGTCTGGGGAACAAAGCAGCTTTGCAACCAAAGCTTCCCCTTTGTTCATCCCATCATGACTTCGCTTTAACCTTACTGCCTTCCATTGCCTATCAGAGGAGGGATTCCAGAGTGGAGCTCCTTTTGCATGGGTGGACTCTCTACCTGCAGTGGGGAAGAGTACATGCTATTGTGCCCTATGAGAGCTAAAAAGTCATTTAAGAGACACACAGTCTTTTCCCCACAGTCTGCATGCTTCTTTTAGTCAAACCCTATTTGCAGGCTTTCAAACTATGCACACAGAGCAAAACGGGAAGAATAGGAAACATCAAGAGTAGTGAATTCTTTCTTTTTTTCAGTTCCACAAGCCCTACAGTTTCCACCTCGGCGGTTCTAAAGCTCAAAGCTGCATCAGCCCCAGCGGTGAGATCTGTTTGCCTATGATGATATAAATTTCCAATGCTGGCCTAAGCATGGTAGTTTTTAGATTTCTCATTAACTGCCTGGCTGCAGCTGGAACTAAAACTGGGTCAGAGGAACCCTTGTTAAGTGCAGTTTACATAGTGGTTGAGTGAATAAGAAACCATGAAGATGACTTTCTCCCCTACACACACAACACAACACACACACACAAAACACACACGTTTTAAATGTAACATGGGAACTCATCTGTCAGTTTCTGTTTAGGGTCCAGGCTGGCTTTTATTACCTTTACAATACATGGAAAAGTTCACCTCGTTCATTTCATGAGCATCGGAGCTCTCGCGGCTTGCTAAATTGCTGAAACTGTGAATTAACTTGTTATTTCTGGAAGTGCTGCTGTTCATTCATCTCCCTTGCATATGCTTGCACACCTGGAACAATCATCTCAAAAACCTGGGACGTGAATGTGGAAATGTGAACATTAAAAATGACCTTTTTTTGGACGTTTATACATACTACTGTGGTCTTGCTTCTGTTTTAATTGCTTCTGGCGCTTCAGATTTTAGACATAGCTGTTAGACATAGCATCCTTACTGAAGTGGCTATCTTCAGTTAAGTCAGGGTGGTAAAGTTATTTTAAAAACCCAAGGGTGGGGGTTTTTTTTTGCAGATGCAAGAAGAGTTCATTTACAGACTTCACAAGGGAGAATGCAGCGGCTGAGATCCATCGTCTTTAGTGCTGAGCTACTTAATGATTCGTAAATGAATTTTTGGAACTGTTGCCACTTCAAATGGCAATGGGGTGGCAGATTCTTTGAACATCACTTTTTACAGTAAACTTGGAAATGATTTCTAAACTTGGGCAACAGATTCGTGCAGTAGTCTTAATAGTAAATGCACAATTGTAGACCAGCAACACTTTATTTTTTATGCTCGATACAAGGCAATTAACAAATGCCTATTAATACTTCACAAATAGTTATTAGCAATACAATATATATTTCGTTTTTCATGAAAATGTCCATTGAAAAAGATTAACTTAATTTGTGTGTGAGGGAAAATGCTCTAGATTTTTTGCAAAGTTAACGGGGTATTCCAGTGCAAAAATAGATCCCATTACAGCTAGCATAAAGTGCTTGGAATGAAGGACCAATCGTATTAAAGGGAGAGGAGTTTGAAACTGGGTTTGGGAGGGAAAGGCATGGTAATAGACGCTTACCATATTACTTCTACAAGGAAAAAAAGTGTCGATCGATAGGAAAGAGCCTCTACAGTGGTACGAATACTGCAGAGGGATGCAACAACTTCGCCAACACATACTGAAGTGGTAGGTGGTTCTTAACACAGTTCCATGATCAGTGGTTTTGTATCACAATATGTTTAGCACGGAGGAGAACCACACAAAAAGCTTGCGTAACATGACTGATTTTGAGGCAACTGTACCATATTATACACAGTGCTAAGTGTTCAATATGAGGTCAAAGCTAGTCTGGATCTCCACTCCTGCCAGGAAGCACTGCTAAGAACTCGTTTCTCATGAAAAGAGTTAAGCACGTTTCTTGCAAGCAGTTGAGATTTACAGTGCAGTCTTCTCTACGTGTCTCTCATTTTCAAACTCTTGCTGCAACCCTAATACCATTTGCATGGGAGCAATTGTCACTGAACTCAAATGAAACAAGACTTCTGAGTAGACACGTAGAAGAGCTTAACTTCTTGTTGGACTGTGTCTTTCTTGGGCAAAATTGCAAAGTATTATTCTAAATAATACATTAAAAGGGCACTTTAAGTTTATATTATGCCCAGAGGAGGCTGACCATTGTGTACAATCAGTTTAAGCACTCTTGTGCGTTACGCATTGCCAAACAGCGGCTGAGTACTAACTATTCATAGTATCCTCTGCAGGGAAAAGAGAAGCACCCAAGCATTGAGTTGCGTGAGCTGTAGGCATTTTGTGACTAGTGGCTGGGATGGAAAGGGATGTTAAAGGATGACGGAGAAGGCGTTTTGGGCATACTCTAGCAAAAGCTAGTTGTATGGGCACTCAGGAACAGTTTTCTGAATAAACGTGTAGGATCCAGACGCCTCCTGTCCCGTTTGCTTTCAAAGACCTTTGCCATAACTAGCCTTTTCTGCCTTGCACTGTCATATTGGAATAAGGACATGGTCATGTTGCAGGCATGACGATGTTTGGTAAACTCCAGTTTTTGTTTAAAAGAAAGACAGTCCAGTGTTACAAAGAATCGCCCACAGCCATTTCCCCACTAAGCCTAGCCTTGCATAAAAGTACCTACTTGATTGACCTTTTCTTTTTTTTCTAAAACAAAACATTTTGATTGCTTCCCAAATGAGCAACTGTTTTGCAAATCACCTTTAAAAGATCCAACATCATATTTTTCAGTTGATTCAGTCTAGTAAACTTTTTGCCTGGGATTGCCATGCTAAACTGGGATGGGATAGATGACAGGACTGCAAAAGTGGTAGCAGCTTGACTTCTAACGTGGGAAAACCTATCACAGTACATTGTATGATTACCGAAACTGGGGAAAGGATTGCTAGACTAGAAAAAGAAATGTGACTGTTTGTACAAATGAATCTAGGTTCTAGACACTTGGCGTAATATCGACCCAAGACTGAAAGTGATTTGATACTTTGGGACGAGGGAGGTGTGACAGCATCTCCATGTATCCCCAGAATGTGCCAGGTCACATTTAAATAATACTGTTGCAATGAAAACAGACATCTCAAACTTGGTTCTTAACAAAAGCTGAAAACAGCAACGGCTTCACGAAAGCAGAGTGGAAGAACGAGCAATTGTCACCATACCATTGGGACAGAAATCCTCTCAAATGTTTCCATGGTTGATTGTTAATTCTGCCGCACCCTAATAAGAAACTAAGTGAATTGTTGTTGTTGTTATGCGTGTTTTGAGATGGTGTGCTTCACGGCCCGCTGGTAAGGCCAACGGTGATCTTCCTCCTCATCCCCTAAACTTGTGTAGTTAACGGGGCCCAACCGCTAATACTTAAATAAGGCCACAACAATGCATTACGTGGTGAAGAATTGGCACTGGTTTCGCCGGTACACTCATTGCCAGCAATGGATGTTGCGCCACAGCAATTCCACCTGCCCTCTGGAAGGGCAATGCATGCCTTAAAATGGCAAATAAATAATTACTGGCCAAGAATCATCTGAGCAGTTGTTGCGCCACCCCTGACCGGGAAATGTACTAAGTAGAAACAAGCAGGAGTATGGCAGAAGACCACATAGCAGAAAGTGGCACCATACCAGAATTTCACAGAGTTATTATAACGAAAGAACAACTAGATTCAAGTCTTTCACTAGAGAACAGTACAACAAGGCAACATCTCCAAGAGGCACTGCCTCCGTAATGGAATATTGATTTCTTTGCATTGAGTTGCATTGCATCAAATGGTTACTAGTAAAAAAAACACATGTTCAGTTTTATTTCCTTCCTCTCTGTATCCTCTTGTCTCTTTGCTCGTGGGACGATCTCCCCACTATGGCACAGAAAGGATGTCTGCCTTCACCTTTCTACTCAGAACGGCTGCTGCACCCTTCGCAACAGGGCTGCTCATACATAGCTTTCTTTCACCTTTTCATCTTTCAAAAAGGAAGTCAGAAGTGAGACATCTACAACAGTCTGGTTTTTGTGCAACGACAAGTCCTTTGTGTGGTCGTCATCGCTTTGGTCCTTGGCGAAGTTTACAAATACCTGAGAGGGAGAAAAGGGAGGAAGATTAGGATGAGTTGTTGACATTTTTATTATTATTGGGATATATCCCTCTAAGCTTTACCCACTAAAGTTAGCCATGCCCATTAATTTCAATGGTCCTGTTCTACTTTCGAACCCAGATCAGGTTGCAACACACATAAAAAAAGCACACCAATCATAATATACTATCAGGATGCTGTCAGCGGCTCCCGGCTGGTTGCCCAGGAAAGTATAAAGACAAGGAAAGGTTTCTGACCATCTTTTTTTATTTCAGTATTTACAGAGAGAGGCTATAGAACCCAGCCTCTTGGATAATGGCATTGTCCTGAGTGACTCTCCACCCCCCATCCCTCCCACTTCATCATTCATCATCATCATCATCTCTGTGGGTGCCGCTACGTGCCCTCTGTCTTTGAGCTCTTTGCTCTCCTACTTTAAGGCTTGCCGGTTCTGGGAGATGGAGGGTCTGGAATGTTTTCTAATGACAATGTGTCTGCTGGGTGTTGTTTGTTCTGGCTCTCCCTTGACTTCCAACTTTCCCCCTCATCTGCCTCTGAGCTGTGACCTCCCGCAAACCCTGTTGTAAATCTAGACTGTCTTCCTCTTCCTCCTCCTGGAAGGGTCAGGATGGGGAGACGGTCTCCACCCTTCCTCCTCCTCTGCCCAGTCCCCAACATATACACACACAAATTATCAGAACAGCTGTTAAACATTAAAACAAGCAGAAATTTAAAACAAACAGAAAAGTACACATTTAAATGCGTACAGAAAAAAAGGCCGGTTTTCAGGTTCTGTTGAAAGATACTCTTAAGGCAGAGCTTTCCAAACTTTTCATGTTGGTGACACACTTTTCAGACATGCATCATTTGCGGCACAGTAATTCAGTTTACTACAACTGGAGGTATGTCTTATAACCGTATCTCTTAGAGATACGGACATATATTGTTCCAACACACCTACACACTGCAGCAGACAACACTATTTTTTTTTAAAAATTTTTTATTAAAGTTTCAAAGTTTTTTATAGCACAAAACAAAACAATACAACTAACAAACAAAAAATAAAAAACAAGTATAATTTCAACCCTTATTTTCTTGTAACTTACTTCCCCGACTTCCTCATACCTCCCCTTTCTGTATTCCAATTTCTAATTTATTATTCAGCAAATCCTTCCCTTATTTTCCTTAATTTTGACCTTTCTTTTCTTCTGACTTATCCATTACGCTAATAACCACATATATTCTAATCCACATCATTCTAACATTCATTAATTGCAGCAGACACACTAACATGTCGTGCACACAGTTTGGAAAGCTCTGCTCTAAGGGGACGTGAGCTGGTTCACACATGCAAGTAGGTCATCAAAGTGAGCCACAAGCGTGTGAACTTCACCCCATGATTCTCATGGACAATAATTCCCCAGAGTTCCTCCACAGCTAGGCCCTGTGAAAGGGGCTACACATATCTTTCCTTCTGCCAGCTGTGGTTTGGGCACATGGTGCTTTGCAACATGATAGCGATGATGAATGGGCTAGATAACTTGGTGTAGTATGACCAGGGCTGAAATTGTCCAATGAGGGGAGGAGCTTTTTGTGTGTGTGTGTGTGTGGTATCTCCATGACGATACACCAGGGCAGATGCCTGAGGGCCAAATGTGACTCTCCGGACCTACCTGTCTGGCCCTCTGAACTCTCCTGGACTCAAAAATCCTACAAAAAGCAACTGAAGAGCCTCTGGGTTTCCACTCAAAATGAGCACTGCTCTTAAGATATGAGAAACTTACTTGGTCAAGTGTGGTCTGTGAAACGGAGTAGTCTTCTATGTGGAATCTCTTTTTGTTCTGGGAGAGGATGCTAAATATCCGAGCCAGAGAAGACTGAGAGGAGGGCAGCTGGTACTGCAGCATGTTGCAATGCTTCTCCTTCAGCACACTGCCCGGGAAGGCCAGCTCAAAGAAGTCTTGAACAGGCTTCAGGTCAGGGTTTGCCCCTGCTATTCGCACTATGATTGTGTAGCCATCTCCAAACCTGGAAAAAGCGAACAGAGGAAAGTGTGGGACTTTCAACAGAGTAGCCTTCAAAAAATGGAGCGTTTTTTAATTCCTGTAGCTTAAAAACACAGTAGGTGTTTGGTAAAGATCTTAACAGAAGTAGAATGAACACAAGACTATGCAGGAGAGCTTCAACTGATTTAACTTTTAGGCTAATCAACCAACAGCGCAATCGTATACAGTGGTACCTCTAGATGTGAACGGGATCCGTTCCGGAGCCCCGTTCACATCTAGAAGCAAACGTAACTACTGACGCATGCGTGTGACGTCATTTTGAGCGTCTGCGCATGTGCAAGCGGTGAAACCCGGAAGTAACACGCTCCGTTACTTCTGGGTTGCTGGGGAGCGCAACTCGAATGCACTCATCCCAAAGCACATTCAACCCGAGGTATGACCGTACAACATATCTACAGTGATACCTCAGTTTACGAACTTAATCTGTTCTGGAAGTCCGTTCTTAAAACGAAGCCATTCATAAACCAAGATGTGCTTTCCCTAATGAGGCCTCCCACCGCCGGTGCCCTTCCACTGTTCAGCTTCTGTTTGTAGACCAAGGTAAAGTTTGCAAACCGGGACACTACTTCTGGTTTTGCAGAGTTCGTAAACCGAATAGTTTGTAAACAGGGCTGTTCTTAAACCGAGGTACCACTGTACTGAGAAGCAAACTGCTTAAGTTCAAGGGAAGTTCAAAGTGGGCATAGCATGCCTCCCCAAGTTTAAATTGATTACTAATCAACCAGGGCTAATTTTAAAATGGCAGGACAGCGAGGTAAGGACAACCAGGTTAATTTTTGAAGCTATTTGGTTCTGGTGTGAGACGAGGGGGGGGACACACACATTAATGATGGCCTTTTCTCCTAACTGTTTTTGTTTATGAAGTTGCAAGGTACCTGTAATGGTTCTAGGGGTTGCTTGTGCGTAAATCGGCGCCACCCTTGGTTGGTTGCCTTAGTGAACCCTTTCTGTCTGGACAGCCACGCGCCCGTGGCTGTCTCAATCGCTGGCAGAATCCGTTAGTGGGCGTTTCTTGAACTTCTTCCAGCAAAGAAGCTCTTTGACGCCTAGTCTCCGCCTACTTTCTCTGCGCGGAAGCCTTCTGCGCAGGGAGGGTGTGGGCATTGGAGGACCCGTGCTCTCCCCACTGGTTCCCGGCGAGGAGTCTTGGAGCCACCTCGCCGATTCCCCCATCTGCCCCCCTTCTCCACTGGTGTTACGCTGATTTACTTCCCCAGAAGATGTGCTGCTTCTCTCCCTCCCGGGACGCTCTCCGGAATCCCTCTGGAGCCCTCCCTCTCCCTCTGGCTCCGATGGCAGTTCCCTGACAGTACCTAAAGCATCATTATTTTCAAAAAAGTGTTGTTTTGATATTATGCCAATGCGAATAAATGTAATCAATTAATTTATCAGATGATCCAGAACAGACTTGAAAATACCGTAAGTACAATTACACCTATTTGTTGGCTGCATGCAATCTATTCTGATGCAGATTCTGGAAATGCTCTCATGAGCTATCTTGGTGCATCCACCTGTGCAAAGGCAGCAAGCATAAAGCAGTGGCTTACCTGTTCTTCAGGTGCTGGACACTGCCAAGGCACCTGAACCGCCCATTGACCATGATCGCCATTCGAGTGCACAGGGCCTCACATTCTTCCATGCTGTGGGTAAGAGAACAAGTGAGTTAAATTGCGCAAATAAAGGTTCTGGCAAGTTTGCGAAATCACTTTTGCACGGCACAGTTTTACAGCCGCATACAAAAGGAAGACCTGGATATGCAGGCTTTTGAATCTTTAACACTAGAAGCTGCGTTCTTTTAAAAAGAGAGAGCAATTGTCCTTCTAGCTAGCTCAATACTGCCGAGTCTGGCTGGTAGCAGTGCCAGGTCTAGTTTCAGGTCTTTGGCACCCTCCTAGCTGAGACAGAAATATCTCAGGACAGACATGTGCTCTACCACTAAGTGACAAGACCTTGATACTTAAGAATTATTATTTATTATTATTATTATTATTATTATTATTATTATTATTTATTATGTCTGAAACTGCTACCATCAGCTGCTATTTTTAATCATTTTCTGTACAACTACTAAGCTATCTTTTTTCCTTGTATGGCTATGTTTTTTAAAAATCAATTTAAAAAAGAATATTAAAAAAAAGAATATTCAGTACTGTTAGGATATCCTGCTGTGTTCTGTTTCACATTGTGTGTCTGTCTGGAGTTTTTGTACAATTTACACTAAATCCAGCCCAAATTAAACATGTCTCATTCATTTCAATGAAAGGGATTTTAGCATCCATTCTATGTGGACTCAGATGGTGTTTTAAACAGCTTCTTTAGCTAGATGATGACAGCTCCTTTTTTTGGTCACAATCCACTTGCAACCGAAAATGAAACAGTGACTGAAACACATCACTATGCTGTGTGATGCAAATAGCAGCTAAGAGCCCCCCAACCCCGCTTACCTGTGAGATGTAAGGACCACAGATCTTCCCTCCTTGATGACGCTCAAGGCGCAGTTCCAAAGGAAACGGCGGGCCTTGGGGTCCATTCCTGTGGTCGGCTCATCCTGCAATTGAGAAACAATAAATAAGTTCTGATCTTGCTCGCCAGAGCATCATTTCATGATGATAAGCTCCATCACGCCTTCCCTTCCTCAACCATCATGGAGCAGGGCTCATTCCATCAGTTTTGCTAAAAGACCAGCTGCATTAGTGCCTCCTTGACCCATGGCAGCTGGACATTATAATAACTACTACAGTGGTACCTTGGGTTAAGTACTTAGTTCGTTCTGGAGGTCCGTTCTTAACCTGAAACTGTTCTTAATCCCACAAAACTCAAAGTGGGGCTTGTTTCAGCAGAGACTTGCACTGCATGAAATGAAATTACATTTCATCGAATAAAATGAGACTACAGTGGTACCTCTGGTTATGTACTTAATTCGTTCCAGAGGTCCGTTCTTAACCTGAAACTGTTCTTAACCTGAAGCACCACTTTAGCTAATGGGGCCTCCTGCTGCCGCCGCAGCACAATTTCTGTTCTCATCCTGAAGCAAAGTTCTTAACCCGAGGTAATATTTCTGGGTTAGTGGAGTCTGTAACCTGAAGTGTATGTAACCTGAAGCGTATGTAACCCGAGGTACCACTGTATTTAAGAACTGGTACTAGAGGCCTGGGAAAAGACATATAAAAATTTGAAGAGAATGTGGAAAATGATTGTTGTTAAAAAAACCTGAAGTTATGATACTGAGATGTACAGGATTTGATGGACTTATTGAGAGAAGGACTTGGTTCCTGTATTTGAGAGTGAATCTCAGGCCAAGACCATCCCATCCCTATAGATCACCAAAGAAGATAAAGAAGACTGGCGAAATAAATCAGTGAACTATGCAGGACATATTAAATAATTTGGGACAATTATTTAATGCATGTATTTGTTTTGGAAGCTTTGTGTATAGATTCCTACATTGGTATAACTTTTAAAACTCAATTGTAATAAGATGAAAAGGTTTTAAAATTGGATTGTTAAGAACATAAGGTTTTATGGATGTACATGAATAAGTACTAAACAATGAAACCAAGAAGGGGAGTGGAGGGAAGTCAACCGAAATGATGGTTTAAAAATTTGTTCGCGATACTTCCCCCCCTCTTTTTTATACACTGTTGTCATTTTTATGCATTGTTATTTATTTATTTTGGAAAATTTATAAAATGTTATTGAAAAAGCAAAGAAAAGCAAAAAAGAACTGGTACTAGAATGGCCTTTTAGCAGAATACGCATTGCTAATGTGAGCAACACCCTACTCACCAGGAACACCACAGGAGGCCCTCCGATTAGGGCCATGGCAGTTGACAGCTTGCGCTTGTTCCCACCGCTGTAGGTGCCGGCGCATCTTTCTGCATACTTCACGAGTCCCAGTTTGCGAACAGCCCATTCACCAACCTACCAGATAGGAGGGCAACATGAACAGAGAAGAACAACCTCAAGGCTCTGTGCAGCTTTAAAAAGCTGCTGTTTGCGACTCCAGAGTCCTACCTAGTGTTATCTGTCTGTTATATATTCCAGGCCATTCAGCACAGCAAATGAGGCTGAAGCACCTCCAGGTTCTTTAAGGTTGGAGACTTGGCAATAGTTTTGTTTCTAAAGAAAGTTGAAAGTGGCTCAGTTCACTTCCCACGGTGTATTTGCACCTTCCTATTTACCCTCTTCTGCCTCTGTTCAGTTGGAAACAATTCAAAAAACGCCCAGTGTTGCGTAAGTGGCTTGCTGTACATCATAATAAGTGGGTGCCTCTTTTTCAAGCTGCCTTTGATCCTCTGAAAAACATGACTGTCTATATCCAGTCAAAGGGAGCTGATGGCACAGCCAGAATGTTATGCCAAGTGGGCTTTGCTGCCGCATTGTTGTTTTGCAAACATTCCTATTGTGTGTGCACTTACTTATTGCTTTAGATCATTGTTGCAAGCCACCACATGCTTCTGGTGAAGCAAGATAGAAATGTTTTAAAGTAAATAAAGAAATTATTTACTTTAAATAAATAAAGTAAGAGACCAACTAAGTTTGTTCTAGGTATAAGCTTTATGTGCATGCAGACACGAAAGCTTATACCCAGAACAAACTTAGTTGGTCTCTAAGGTGCTACTCTAAGGTGCCGAAGAATTGATTGCCAAAGAAGTGATGCTTTTGAATTATGGTGCTGGAGGAGACTCTTGAGAGTCCCATGGACTGCAAGAAGATCAAACGTATCCATTCTTAAGGAAATCAGCCCTGAGTGCTCACTGGAAGGACAGATCCTGAAGCTGAGGCTCCAATACTTTGGCCACCTCAGGAGAAGAGAAGACTCCCTGGAAAAGCCCCTGATGTTGGGAAAGATGGAGGAGAAGGAGAAGGGGACGACAGAGGACGAGATGGTTGGACAGTGTTCTCGAAGCTACCAGAATGAGTTTGACCAAACTGCGGAAGGC